CTGCCACAGTGCCACATGGGGAGCTCAGAGCAGAGACTGCAAGCGGCCTCCTCCATGAATTTGACCTCTTACTAGGGGGGGAATATGGGAACTTCTCTTTGCCTCGTCACATGTGTTCACCAGTTCTTGTAAAGAAATATAGATGGCAATCCCTGTCCTCGAATAAGGTAAAAATAGAGTGAGAGATAAGATACCAAGAAAAGTATGAAAACAATCCACTGAGTTCAAATGTGAGACTAAGGGAAATGCAAAAGATGTTAAGGACTAGGTGGTATTTGAGCTAGGATTTTTTGTGGGGGTAATCAGGGATTGAACTCAGGGGCACTCGACCACCGAGCCTATTTGGTATTTTCTTTAGAAACAGGGTCTCACTGAGTTGCTTAGCACCTCAGTTTTGCTGAGGCTGGCTTTGAACTTGCTATCCTCCTCCTGTCTCAGCCTCAAGAGTCACTGTGATTACAGGCGTGCACCACCCCACTAAGCTGAGCTAGGATCTTTTATTTTGTTTTTGAAGCGGGGTCTTGCTGTGTTGCTTAGGCTAGTCTCATACTCCTGTACTGTAGTGATTCTCCTGCCTCAGCCTCCTGAGTAGCTGGGACTACCTCACCTAGCTAGGATCTTGAGAATGGGTAGAAGGTAGGCATTCAGGAGATACACCTATCTCACTGATCACTCTCTGCTCCCTGAGTTAGACACCCAGGTGGACTGCCAAACAGAGGAGGCCTGGAGAGACTGGCAGCTCAAAAGATACCCAGAGTGGAAGTCATCTAGGACAGTTCCAATCTCTCTACTCTAGCTTACTCCATAATAACCACAGACTAAAGCCAGGACCAGAACTCCAATGTCACAGACCAACCTCCCCTCCCCACATACCATTTCTTTTTTGGTACCAGGGATTGAACTCAGGAGCACTCGACCACTGAACCACATCCCCAGCCCTATTTTGTATTTTATTTAGAAACATGGTCTCACTGAGTTGCTGAGTGCCTCACTTTTGCTGAGGCTGGCTTTGAACTCGATCCTTCTGCCTCAGCCTCCTGAGCAGCTGGGATTACAGGTGTGTGCCACCACACTCAGCTCCACATACCCATTTCTGACTTAAAAAAAAAAAAACAACAACTAGCCTTTGGATGGGACATATAAGGAAGATATGGACAAATAACCAAGTCTAATTTCTACTTGATGTCACACAGTGGATGATGCTAGGTCTACACAGGTATTGAGTCCTGACAAGCCAACATTAGAAGATCCCGACTCATAGAAAAGACATGTCCAAATCCATTTATTTGATATGTACTCCTATAAAACATCAGTTGATGTTTTGAACTTTTGATATATGAAGATAACTTTTGATATATAAGACATTTTAAGAAACATATCTATATCCTGTTATTGAATCACCAGTGAACCAACCTTAAACTTCTGACCTTATTTCTTCTCAAGAAATTGCTGTTCTTATTTTTAAGCTTGTGTTGGGTTTTGCTGCGGCGCCTCACTGGGGACTCACAGTCAGCTGGCTGGACACATCCCAGTGAAGAAATGTGTGCTGCTTCCTGAGAGGCACTTTGCCAGTGTTCAGACCTTTGCACTTTCTAGGGGGAATCCTAGAGGCACAGTCACATTGCCCTCCAGTGCCTGTCAACATCCACCACACTGAACAAGCTAAAGGCAGAGCTTCCTGCCTGCAGGCTTCCTGTGGCAGAGGCAGACCAAGGCGGAGCCAGACATATGCTTGGAGAAGGATGCTCATGAATAAGGTGCAGGCAGAAAAGGGGCATGCTCTCGGCACTCCACAAAGGGAAACTGCCCGAGAATGTTCTGCACAAACGAGAAGCCAAGCTCCCCTAATTTCAGCTTCTACTGATATTGAAGCTTAGAAAGTGGCTGTTTTCAGTTGAAATTGATGAGACAGGGTGCTGCAGCCTTAAAAAGATGGCTGTCTTTTCTTATTTCCACTCTTGTTAAAAAAAAAAAAAAACCTCCTAGCAGAGACCTGACACACCTGTACTGTTCTGGAGGCTGAGGCAGGAGGACCACAAATTTAGGGAAGCCTCAGCAATTTCAGGAGACCCTGTCTCAAGATAAAAAAAAAATACAGGAATACAGGAGCTGGGGTGGTGGCTCAGTGGAAGAGCACTTGCCTAGCATGTGTGAAGCACTGAGTTCGATTCTCAGCACTGCATACAAATAAATAAAATAAAGGTCCATTGACAACTAAAAAATATTTAAAAAAATAAGATTAAAAAAAGATAAAAAACTTCCAGCAGAAAAGTATGTTTGTTTGAATATGCTTTTCAACTGGTGTTCTGGATATGTGTAGTAGCAGCTCTTAAAAGTCAGCTCTGGGACTTACCTGAGCCTTTAACAAATCATAAATCCTAGGCCAGGTCTAATGGCCTAAACTGCTAATTGTCTTCTCTGTTTAATTGCAAAGGAGGACAGGTCAGGACAAGGACTCTGCTCCATTAGTCTAGAATCCTGTTCCAAATATTACACCTAAGTCCTACAGGGACAGAAGTCCTATGAGGTGACAAATGAGGTTTCAAAAATGAGATTTGGGACCAAAGCATGAGATTCAGCACATACTCAGGAGGCTGAGGCAGGAGGATCATTTGAGCCCAGGAATTTGAAGACCAGCCTGAGCAACATAGCAAGACCCTGCCTCAAAAAGCAAGCAAAACAATAACAACAAAAAGTGACAACTGAATGTGGCCAATGGGAAGCGGAGCCTTGGGAGAGGGATTTGTTCAATAATGGTACCTAGGTCAGCAACGGTAAGGTCCTCCTCGGTTGGACGAATGCACACTTCCTTCATGGCCAGGCCACAGCTCCTGGCTCAGCCCAGGATGGGCCAACTGGCCTGCGGTGTGTGGGGAGGGGAGGGTGGAGGTCCTTCTTACCCTTCGACCTGCCTCGTTGTTCTGCAAGTTCATGAGCACTCGGCCCTGCTCCTCTGATCCCTTGGCAAAGTTCTTCTCCCGTTCCCGGGCATCCACAAACTCCTTAGCAAAGCGGTAGCCATACTCCACATTGTCCCCACAGCCACCCCACAGCCAGTCCCGGGGGAGGTCCTTGGGCCGTGCTGTCCGGCTGCAGCCACAGGTAGAAAGCTCACCCTCGCGGCAAGCGCGGCTGATGGCGTTCACCACCCCGGCGGCGCTCACAGCGTAGGTGAAGGCGGTCTCCCGGCTGCCTGCAGGAGGAGACAATACGTGTCAAGGAGGCCTTTTCTTTTCTCCACTTCCTCTTTAAAAAAAAAATGTAGTTGTAGATGGACAGCATACCTTTAGTTTTTTATGCGTTTATTTTTATGTGGTGCTGAAGATCCAACCCAGTGCCTCATACGTGGGAGGCAAGCTCTCTGCCACAGAGCTACACCCCGAGCCTTCTCCACTTCCTCTAGACCCTTCCTCATAAGCCTCTGCTGTGTCCCTCCCAGGGGTAGGAAACACTGTCTGGAGGGGCACTTTCTCTTCCCACAGCTCTATTTGCCTTTTTTTTTTTTTTAATCCCTGCCTCTTGCCCTTAGCTCAACCCTATGGAAGCCACACAGAATCAGAGGAATCCCCCCAGGCCTGGTCTCCACTCATATTCATTACAGAGAAGTCTATAGGACTCGAAGATTCCCAGGAGAAGACCTCAGTTGAGGGAGGATGGCAGCCAGAAATTTATGGACCACATGAGACCAGCAGAATGAGACGGAGAAAGAAATCATGGGATCAATAGTAGAAGACTGCATCCTAGCAAAAATGTCTCCCTCACAGATGCAATTCCTCACCACTCTGTGAGCTACACATCTGTCTTTTTTATTGCTGCCATTATCTAGCAAGGTACTGGCAGAGACCAGGAATGGAAAGTGAACTAGAATCACACTGTCCAAGCTGTTTCCCTCTCTTTTCCACAGGATCCACACTGCCTCCTAACTCAAGAGCAGTAGGGAACCACACCAATGGCACCTACAATTTCAGACACTGAGAATGGTCCCTCTAAAATATCCAGACCACTTCCAACAGAAAATCCCAACTATATTCCTTTTGATTTCTGTAGCAAATCGCTTACCCCCCATGATTTATGTTCTACTTCAATGAAAATGTTTATCAAAAAACAATGCTCAGCCTCCAACATGCATATCAAAAATAAAAATGAGACTTCACATCCACCAGGGTGACCATCATTAAAGATACAGCTGATAACAAGCTGGTTAAGGGTAAGGAACCCTCCCGTGCTGTTGACGGGAATGTTAAATAGTGCAGCTGGTTTGGGAAACAGTCTGGCAGTTCCTCAAAAGGCGAAACATAGAGTTGCCATATGACCCAGCAGTTCCACTCCTAAGAATGTACCCGAAGGACATGAAAACATGTCCACAGGAAAACTCACACATGAATGCTCATTGTGACGTCATTCATAATAGCCAAAAAGTAGAAACAACCCAAATATCCATCTATGGATGAAAGGATAAATAGGGTATTATCCATACAATGGAATATGGAATATTATCATCCATAAAAGGAATAAAGTCCTGACACATGCTACAACATGGATGAACCTTTAAATCATTATGCTACATGAAAGAAGCCAGGCCACATAGTATATAATCCAGACTAGGCAAATCCACAGAGACAGATTAGTGGTTGCCTTGGGCTGGGGGATAAGGGGATGGTGAGTGAGAGTTAAAGGGTGTGCACTTTTTCCATGGGGTAATAAAAATGTTCCAGAATTATTGGTGATGGTTGCAAGCCTTGTGAATATACTAAATGCCATTTAATTGTATACTTTAAACAATGAATTATAAAAACAAAACAACAACAACAATAAACAGTAAACTGTAAGGGATGTGAATTATATCTCCATAAAGCTGTTTTAAGAAATAATCAATAATACCTATGCAGACACAGATGTGGAGGTAGGGAGTGGTTCTTGGCAATAAACAGGTCCAATCCTGGTCTCAGCACTGGGCAAAACTTTCTATTCTCTCTTTCTTCCTCTCCTACATCTCCAAGGTGAGAAACAGACGTCCCACGGTCCCGTCTTGGCAGATGCAGACGGCAGCAGTCTCCATCAATTAAAAGGTCTGCAGTGATCCCCCACTTGGCCCTACGTCTTCATTACCTCAGCACCACAATGACATGTACGACCAGACCACACTGGGTGAGTCAGTTTTTCTCAATTAACCAGGGGCCAGCTTCTGGTCAGTAGTGGAATAGGAATGCCCCAAGAAAAACCCAAATGATGGCGGGAAGTTCTGCTCATGATTCAGCCATCAGGACGGATGTTTGAACCAGTGCTGAATTACAGAGTGGAGGGATCTGGTCTAGGGAGGTAGGACTGTGACATTGAAGACCGTGATGGTAAGATGGCTAAAGAGCCTCTTGGTGACGCAGGTTGGGTCCCACTCTGAGGGATTCATCTCTGAGAAATCTTTCTAGAATGTAGCCTCAACTCCCTGATGTGGTGTCCTGGGAAGGAGTCTTTGAAACTACAGCCCATCCACTGGCAGCATTCCTTGTTCAGAATTCCTCAGGGAAGCCAGAGGGGCTTTCAAAGCAAACCATTGCATCTTTTTTGTTGTTGTTGTTTGTTTCTGGTACCAGGAATTAAACCCAGGGGCACTTTACCACGGAGCTGTACCCCCAGCCCTTTTTATTTTTTGAGACAAGGTCTCCCTAAGTTGCTTAAAGCCTCACTATGTTGCTAAGGCTGGCCTTGAACTTGGTGTTCTTTTGGCTTCAGCCTTCTGACTCCCTGGGATTACAGGCATGTGCCACCACACCCAGCCTGCATCTTTTTAAAATGACTTGATCACCAGAATGTTCTTCGTATTAAAAAACCAAAGTCTGCCTCCCGACAACTTCTGCCTGCTGGAGTGACACTGTCTAATCCTTTTTCCATTTGTCAGTTCTTCAGTGTTTGAAAACAAATAATATGCCTTTTATGCTTTCTTTTTCCAAGCTACATATGTCTGATTTCTTCTACCATTCTTTAGCTAAATGCTTTCAGAGTTGAATCAGCCTTCTCAGAATTGCCTTTTAAAATAAAATGTATTTGCAGGTGAGTGTTATATATCACCAGATACTATGCACTCTGACAGTTCCAGTCCTCAGAATGGTTTGGGATCAGAACATGCCCTTGGGTGCATTAGCTGTCACTTCTGTTGGTCTAGGAGAGGCAACATCACTAGACACTGGCTGTGCGTAGCTCTGCCTGCATGGGGCTCCGTTTAGGTTTCTGGAAAGAAGCACTAGAGCTACCTTCAGAAGAAGAACTTGAGGCTTTAGAACAGAGGAGCAATGTAGGGGGCTTATCTATATGTGAAACAACTCAGAGTTACAACTCAAACTACCTCAAAGATACAAGGCTAATAAACCATCAGCCCTAGAGCTACCGGTTAGGCCCTGCATCTTCTTCTTCCAGGCAGACAGCAGAACAGCATCACATGTGTCCTTTCACTACCACAGCAGCCCAACTGCCAGGAAGGTGCCTCGGGGCTCCTCAGGGGCCAGGTGAAGTGCCAGGGCTCCTCCAAGCAACTGCTGCCCTCTGGTGATAGACTTTTGCAGCAGCTTCAAAGAAGGAAGAAACCTCTTGGAAGTCCTAGGCCAGATAGTGAGATTTCTCAACAGGAGCCTCTCTGTCTGGGGCCAGTGGGAGAAAGGGAGGACAGCTTCTCAGGAAGTATGAGCCTTCAGGAAAGCTACAAAAAGGAGTGGGGAAAAGCATCCAGTTTGTTACAGAAGAGGGTACAGTGGGATGTGCTTTCTTCCATGGGGCTGCCTTCCACGGGTCATTCCGCCACGCAATCTGAACCCAGAAGAGTGCTGCAGTACTTTATTTCCTAGAAAAAACGACACCTTCTAGACTTCACCTGAATGAAATAGCACATAAAAGGATCCAGACAGTGGCAGGCACACATTAGGGCCTCAATAATGGTCTGATTCCTTGAAGTGCCTCTGTGGACCCAGGGATCATGCTAGTGTCCTCACCCCAAAGGCAGGATAGGGAATGCTGCTGAGACTTTCACCAGGAAGAAGGGACGAATACCAAGGGAATTCTAGAAGAATCCACAAATTGTGAGTGAATCCCACTTAACCCCCAAGTCCACTCTTTCAGAAAAGTTGTCCCCTAAGGCTGTCCCAGGAACACAGGAGCATTCCTTTCTATGTACCTTGATCCCCCAAAAGAGAATGAGCAGTTAAGTTCAAAGTAAACTTTCCCCCGTTTTTACTTCTCAACATGGGATAGGGGAAAGAAGTCTGGAATAAGTGGGAGGGGATCGGGCCTCCCAAGCATCCCTGGTAATACAGGATTTTAAATCACTGGCTCCCCAACCCCCCTGCCAATGGGAAAGCCCAGCAACAGGTAACTCCAGAATGTGACCTTCTGATGGGAAGCTGTCCTGGGAGAATGTGAGACAGGACAGAATACAGTGCTCCAACACCTTCCTTTTATGGCCCTGGGGATAAGACCTAGTAGAATAGGGCCGGATTTCTCGATTTCTTGCCAGGGAGGGGAGGATTGCATTTCAAAAGGACCTAAAACAATTAGACCTCAGATCACACCTCTATCTAAGCAGTAGGGCAGCCAAAGAATCCTAGACCAGCAGTGGGGAGAGAAAGGGACAGGAATCCGGGAAGACATGGCCCTCTCATCTTTCTTCTTTAGTCTGTCCCCTTCCCCCACTCTCTCCCCCCCCCCCACACACACACCTTTTCAAATGAAAAAAGCTAAAACTGGATCTGGGTTGGGTTAATGACAGCTATCACCAATTTGGTCCAAAGTTTCTGTCTCTTGAGGGTCCAAGTGGAAGAGGCAAACATCTTTCAGCTATTCAGGACAGCAATTTTGGGTTCTCTACCCAAGACTCTAAAAAAACTAAAAGGGAGGCCCTTGTTGTCTTTGAGACAAAAGCAGCGGTGATGGGCGGGTCTCCTAAGCCACTCTAACTCAACTCAGATGTTCCACCCAGGGTGAGTCACATAGAGCCTGCCAGGGTGAAGCTGGAAAGCAGAGGCTGCAGGGACATGGAGAATTATCCAGAATGCTGCTTCTTTATGTACCTGCCTCTCTCCCTTTTTGCATGCTGCTGCCAAGCCTAGAAAGAACCCAAGGAGGCCCCCATCTGGGCTCTTGATGCGCTAGTCCTGGAACAGCTTAAATGAACCCAGCCAATATGAACACAGTTCCTGTGGCCAAATCATATTTAAGTGGCCTCTTACCTATCTGCATGACTCTGCCAAAGACAGACGTGTTGTCCACAGTGCTGCAATTCCATCGCCTCTGCCGGAATTGGTACTGGCACTCCTTAATACCCGTCTTGGCTCCCTCCCCGATGTAGGCCATGTGTTCCTGGTACAACTGGCACAGCTTTCTCTGGCCAGGGGAGAGCCCAGGAAGCTGACTGCACACAGGCTGTGCACCGATGATAAACATCTCTGGTCTCTGCACCGGGTTCATAGCTAAAGACCTACAACAGCAATCCAGAAAGCAGGGCGGGGAGGACAAGAAGTGAGTGTGTGTCTGTGAGCAGTGTAATGTCATTCAGCTAACACAATTATGGGATGTTTTCTGGTATCAGGCCCTGAAGGACCTAGGACTTAGAAGGGGAAATTAGTAAAACAGAGTTCAAGTCTTAAAAGGACACAAGGGATAAATACAAATGATACGTGAGATGTCAAATGTCTAAGACAGACAAGATTCTGGATCTACTATGATCATATAGGGAAAGCTCTTCCCCCAGGGAGAATCCTGTATAAGGAGATGGCCAGAATTTGTACTGGTCTTAAAGGATGGGGAAAAGACAGAGAAGGAGGTGGGGTGGCCAGGCAGCTGTTTATTCAAGGCAGAGGGCAAAAAGAGCCAAATGTTGACACATGCCTGTCCAAGGAGTAGGAATGATCAGTTCAGTTTAGCCCTAATGCAGGGTACATGATGGAAATCAATTCCCTTCAATGGAATCCCCTATGCCTTTAAAATAGGAGTCCAAGTACACACATCACAATGTATTCTAAACATTTTCACTTCCATATCTCACTCCACACATGCCCTAACCCACTGTTGATCAGTTCAGGGATCTCCCTTTTTCTCATCATCCATTAGACATAATAAAGCATTAAGTTAGATGAGAAAGCTACAGACTTGCCATCTGAATAAAAATGTAAGTGGGTCACAGATCATGCAAAATAAGTAGCGATCGTCTGCCATTTCCATGTTACTTGGCAATGACAGTCATCTTAAAAATACAGAAGGACACACATGGTCTTGCAAATCCCTCAACTAGTCTTTAGACTGATAAAAACAGGAATTTTACTCTTTCTGCCTCTGCTGGCAAAGCAAACAAACAAACACCCAGATATCAACATACACGTTTTTTTAAAGTATTTTTTTTAAAGTTGTAGATGGACAGAATGCCTTTATTTTATTTATTTTTATGTGGTGCTAACAATCGAACCCAGTACCTTACACGTGCCAGGCAAGCGCTCTATCACTGAGCTATAGCCCCAGCCCAACATTTGAGACAGAGTCTTTCTGTGTTGTTCAGGCTGGCCTTGCACTCCTGGACTCAAGTGACCATCCTGTTTCAGCTTCCTGAGTAGCTGGGACTTTGGGAATGTGCCACTATGCCCAGTTTCATAGGGTTTTTTCTCTCTTTTTCCTTTCCTTCTTTCCCATCCCTCCCCTACCCAGTTCTGGGGATCAAACCCAGGGCCTCCTGCATGCTATCAATATTTTTATTAACTCAATAAAAATTAAAAAGCTATTTATAACAATTCATGAGGATAAGGAAAGGTTCAAGAAAAAGGGATTGTTAACAGGATCTAAGAAAAAAAAAGAACAAATCCTTTATTTTCAGGGAATCTTTACCTCTAAGAACTGGAGAGCAAAAAGAAGCTCTCCAACTTTGCCTGGGATGCAAGAGGCCCTATCACGTTCCTATGGATTGGGTGTGATCACAACCCATGGTGCCCCCTGCCCACACCTTGATTACCCAAGGAACCTTAGGGTACAGAGCAGGACCAAAGCCCCTCTCACTCACCACCAGGAGTTGGCATCCGTCAGCAGCTGGGCCCAGCTGGAGAGCAGAGCTGCAGTGAAGAGCAGCAGCAGGCTAGGCATGGTCGGCCTCAGCCCGCCCCAGTGCCCTGGGACAGACA